GGTGTGTGGGTTAGGCCTGGGGCCTTTCGCTTTTTGTTCCCTGCACCGGAGGAGAGGACGCGCAGCGCGTCGATGAGTGGGTGACGAACCGGGGGGTATTGTCGGCGAGTCTCCCGGCCGTATTACTCGCCGACAAACGTAAAACATGAAATGGAAACGATGCAACACGACAAGGCTTCGGAACCCTGTCACGGTTTCCCGGGGATATCGTCCCTGTTCCCGGCCGATCGACCCCCGTGGCTTCGGGCCCGGGGGGCTCCCGCGAAGGGCCAGCCGTGGAGTTGCCGACGGGCTCCACGGCTGAACATGCTACCGTCCGGACGGAGACAGAAGAAGGAGGACCAGCAGGAGGGGGTGCCAACGCTCCATCTACTACCGCGGAGGCGGAAGGGAGGATGGGGACAACACCCAGGTCCAAGAGGAGGGAGTTGCGGCTGCGACTAGAAAGGACCAATGTGGTGGCGATAACATCGGACACGTCAACCCTTGGAGCAGCGGGGAAGGCACCGGCCTCAGCTAGAGGGGAGGCCCCACTCCCGAGGAGAGGAAGGTCGAGGACGGCCAGATACCCTCGAGAGGCGAGAATAAGGGTTGTAGAAGGGGAGATCATAAACTCCCCAATCGCCGAAAGTATCTCAGCCGGGACACCAGCCCTTAGTGGCTCCGGCGGGGTGGCTGGCGCGGGCGACGTAACGTCCAACGCGTCCAGTATTATAATGGTTGAATCGGAACCTGAATCCACTGGCGGAGAGGCGATACCCTCTACTTCCGTTGAATCTGGGAACTCTTCATTCGATCAGGTCCCCAGAAAAGGAAAGAAGAGGGGAAGGAAGCCGAAGGGCTTTAATTGCCCCGACTCACACGCCCTGTCCAAGATGTCCTCAAAGCGAATGGACTTTGAGGGCGATGAGCTGGACAGAGTGGATTTCTTCAAAATCACAAAGAGGCCCGGACATGGATTAAAAAGGAGGAAAGGGTTGGTGGAGTGCCAACTGGACGATCGGCTTTCATCGCACCAGAAGGATGCCATCGAGGAGGTTACCGCACTCTTCCCCCAAATGTCCCCGAAATCAATCATGGCGGAGACGTTGAGGGTTCTGGAGACCGCGGGGGAGGCTGAAAGGAGAACCCAAAGTATGAAGGGGGATCTGCGGCGTCAAATAAAGGTGGGCGTTAACGTCGCCAAAATAGCCGTGCAAAAGTTAGTGGCTGATATCGCAAAAGGCACTGGACCTAGCGATGAGATTAGGGTCAATAATTTGGCCCTAGAAAAAGAGGTTATCAAACTCAGGCGGGAGGTTGATACCCTCCGACGGGAGAGAACAACAATGAGGAAACAGATAAATGCGCTGCAGAACACGGTCCAGGAGATGAAGGATGAGGACCGTGACAGAAGACCTATCCTTTCTCCTGGGGAGGAGACTCGTGACGAGGGCTGTTCTCCAATAAGGACCCGAGGGCGAGACAGGAGTGAGCGCCACGCGAAGAGCAGGGACACCGACCTTGACGCGGTAGCGGAGAGCCTCCCTCCGGCCTACCGACCGCCGATCGGTGGGGTCCGGAAAAGGTTGGAGGATAGGCCCACTCGCTTAACAAATGTTAACGAGGAAGGGCAGATAGTTATAAGAACAAGAGAGGCAGGAAGAACTAGCCTGAAGCGTGGGGACACGTATGCCGAGAGGACTAGATACGGAGGGGCGGGAGACATCGGTAGAGGCGACGGACTCGGAGGCAACCGGGACCGGGAGAGCCCGCCCCCTCCGATGGAATACCCGGTCGACGGCGAGGCCTGGACTGAGGCCAAGTCGAAAAGAGCGCGTAAGAGGATGAGAAGAAAGGAGAAGGCAGGAGCGGCCTCCGACGCGAACGCGCACGTCGGGACGCGGGAGAAGAAAGGCCCAGGACGAGTCGTGGTACCCCCACCTCCTGGAGGGGATATAAAGGCCGGAGTGCGCCGGGCCGGCACTATTAAAGGGGCAGCTAGTGTAAGTGCGCGTGATGGGGCGTCGAAAGGCCCTACGCCCGCCAACGTCGCGATCCGCCCTCGCGCGAGGCAAACGGGAAACACGGGACGACGACTACCTACGGCTAGGGACAATGTGTTCCGGGCACCGAGAACGGCGGCGGTTCTCATTAGGTGCGAGGAGAACAAGGACAGGCCGGGTAACGTGTCGTATGCTGAGGTCATGAAGCTTGCGAGAAGCAAGATTTCGCTTGAGGACCTCAGCATATCAAATACACGCATAAGGAGGGCGCAGGCGGGCGGCCTCCTTATAGAGATACCGGGTGGGGAAGAAGCCGGAACCAAGGCAGAGGCCCTGGTGGGCAGATTAAAGGAAGTCCTCTCTGAAAGTCAATTCAGAGAGGAAGTGCAGATTGTGAGGCCTATGCGAAGAGCAGAGATCAGATTGGTTGATATAGACCAATCTGTCTCTGCTGAGGAGGTGGCCGAGGCAGTGGCCAATAATGGACAGGCCCATACGGCAGACATTAGGGTTGGACCCCTCAGGCCCGGGAGAGGAGGCCTCAACTCAGTGTGGGTGCAGTGCCCTTTGGCCTGCGCCAATAAGTTGTTGAGTGCCGGACGTATGAGAGTTGGCTGGACCATGGCAGGGGTGGTGCCCCTGGCAAAGCGGAGGCTGCAATGCTTCCGATGCTTTGCCGTGGGGCACACCCGGGCGAACTGCATGAGCCAGGTGGACCGCTCCACCTGGTGCTTCCAGTGCGGGAGTGGTGACGGGCACAGAGCCGCGGGCTGCCGGAAGCCCCCGAAGTGTCCGGTGTGTGCGGGAAGGGGATTGCCCTCTGGACACCGCGCCGGAGCGTCCGAGTGCGTTCCCTATAATGGACCGGGGCCGAAATTGAGGGAGAACACAAGTGTGACCCCCGCGGAAGTGCAAGTGGATGGAGCTGATCGGGGAGCTCCGACCCCCGGAGAGGGGACACGAGAGGAGACCATGGAAACCTGCGATGGCTAGACTGGCGCAAATTAATGCCAATCGGTCTAGACCATCGCAGGAGATGGTCGCTAGAGTAAGCAGCGAACTGGGACTCGGCCTGGTCGCTATCTCGGAACCCAACAGGGTCCCGGATGATGGACGTTGGGTGTCCTCACTGGATAGCCCGCCTTCGGCTGCCATCACGTGGCAATGGGCCCAGACGAGGATACCCTGCTCACTTCTCTGGAGAGGGAGAAGATTCGTGGCAGTAGACTGGGGGGACACTATTGTAGTGTCTTGCTACTTCCCCCCC